AACCACTGAGCCTATGCCCCCTAGCTGCCCTCCAGGTCTGAAATTGAACCTAATCCTGTGGCTTCCAGTCAAACAAAAGAGAGGCATATGAGCTGAACATTTACATTACGTAGATACACTGCTTGGAGAGATCAATCATGGGAGAATAGAAGGACTGTGTATGCACAGGGAGACAGCCCAGGGGGCAGGAGTGCATGGGAGAAAAGGACACAGTGAAGAGGTATCTATGGGGAGGAAGTGGGAAGAGAGCTGTTGCATTGTGGGAAATAGCAGTCAATGTCATGAGGCAAAGTGTATGTGAACTGCTGTATGGAAAATGAATTTGCTGTGTAAATTTTCACCCAAATCACAATAAAAAATTAAAAAAAAAAAGACAGAATAAGGAGGACAAAAAAATACTGCCTACTGGAAACTCTATACTTTGCCCTAACACAGTTTATGTGGGGAAATTCACAAAGCAAACTTTGCATTTATTTTCCTCTACATCTTTTTACGTATGAGTCTCCTATTGAGGATTTTGTCTAGCAAAGTTTATTCATCCCTGACTTGGAGTTCACCTACCAAGCCGAGTGCTGTCTTGCTCTACCACCCCATCCCTCCACCAGGCAAATGCCCATCCATTAGGTCTCAGCTTATCTAACACCACCTATGGAAAGCTTCCTCTGACCCCTAGTAAGTAAAATTAGTCAAAGGCAAGAAATAATTGGTTGACTTCCAATGTCATGGTAAACATGTTTTAACAAGTCTACTTGTGGGTTATCTGAGTCTCTTGGAAGGAGTTCTGATGGCGCAGTGCCTAAGGCTTTGACTGCTAACCAGAAAGTTGGCAGTTCAAACCCACCAGCCACTCTGCACAGGAAGACAGAGCAATCTGTTTCCATAAAGATTTACTGCCTCAGAAACCCAATGGGGGTCATAATGAGTCAGAATCAACTCAATAGCAGTGGGTTTAAGTCTCTTGGAGAATGTAATTGGTTTAATGTTGTTCAGGGCGATGACATTTTATAACTCTGGAAAGTTAGAAGGATAACTCCTAAAAAGACTGATAAAGTGTGATTATTTTTTCTGTCTGGTAGAGAAAAAAAATTTTTTTTTTTAAACCCTCAAACCAGTTTTATGGCACTGTAGGACATTAGCCAGATTTGTATGTAATTTAGCAGTCTACTGACTTTTTAATTCCATTCCTCATGTTCTCTTTTGAATCAGCTGTTATTCTGCTGTTTCTCTTTATTTAATGAGATAAATGAACTTTGACATGCTCTTTTTCTATGCAATTTATGTTTTTAATAATTTGGGAATTATGATTGACACATCCTAGTTAAGAACTGATTCTTGGACCCCCACCTGAAGTGCTCTTATAGCACACACTCTATTATAATGGCTCATTTGCCTTATTAACCTCTTATGGCTCTACGTATGAGCTCAACAAAAAATTTCCTGACTGAATTATTTTACCCAAATGCACTCAAATCTCTTTCCCTCACTCTTCTTCTCCTTTTCCATCATGACCTGAAACTACTACAACTTCTTTTTTAACTTGATAATGGCTCCCTTACTACCTGTAGCCCTTGAAAAGGATAAATGTATCATCTAATTAAATGATAGTTTTTCTCTGACAATAGGATGGAGTTCATGTCCTCTGTCTGTGCTTTAGTACTTTGCAAAAATAAATGTTAATAAAAATTACTACCACCACTTTGGAAAAACTGTCAGCTTTTATTAAGACTATCAACTGGCTACAAAATAGCATATTATAAGGAAATGCTGTCAAACAAATGAACTATAAAATGGACAATATGTAAAAATACCTGAAATACATAATTTTCTCTAGCAGAAAATGCTATAACCATACATGTAAAACAATTGCTATTCAGTTGAATAAGATCATGGAATAAGCCACACTATTTTGAGCTAGCTTTGTTAGGACTAGTCTATTGGTATTAAATTTGTGAAATTAATAGAAAAATATAACTTGACACTATTATCAATTTATTGACTTTCAGCTTCAAATTCACGACTTGTGCCTACTCTGTGAAAACAAATCTAGTCCCGTTAAATATGTTCCCTTTACCAATGACATGTTAAGCTTTCTCAGCAGAGGGTGCTGGAGGATCACTGTAAGAGGAGTCTGCCTTCCTGCTTCCGGTGTGTTCACAGGGCAGGCTCCTCAGCCCAGCAGTTGTAGCACACACACCTTGCCCCAGTATCATCAGCGCCTGGCTTCTGCAGTGTGTGCAGCTTCTCCAACATCAAGCTCATGCCGTGCGGTTCCCCCAGAGCTTAGCCCTCAACACACAACTCCCGCAGTGATGTGGCCAGCAGCACCTGGTCACCGGCAGCTTCTACCAACACTCTCCTCAGCCAGTTTTGTAATGAAATGTCCCTGGAAAGACATTCCCCTATAAACAGCTTTCACCAGCAGCCTGGAAGATGCTTGTCTAGAAGATGGATTTCTAGCAAGATCCACCAGCATGGCACCACAGCATCCCTGCCATCTAGTGAGCCATAGCCAAGCCCTCCTCTACAAAGTCTGGATCTCAGCTTTAAGGTGTGGGAGTGCAGGAGGGGACTCTTCCTTGGATGCTCTATCTCAGCCCTAGGAGTGGTAGCTGCTCCTTATGTCTCTTATTCCTATATTCTTTAGAGTTTTCTCTATTTCTTACTAGTCAATCCCTTGTTCCTTCAATACTGCTTGTGGTGGTTAAGTTTGTGTGTCAACTTGGCTGGGCCTGGTTGAGTGGCTGGGCAGCTGGTGGAAGTTATTCCCCATGATGAGATTGGCAATCAACTCCATGGTGGAACCTGCCACAAGCAGCTGAGTAGCTGCTTTAGGGATGTGGTCTGCTTCCTGTATATAAGAAACAGCTTTGGGAATGGTCTCTAGCTTATGGCACACTTGAACCCTGCATATAGCCATGTCATTGTTCAACAGCCTGCCATGCTCTGCTGACCTTGAGACTTTCAATGGACTTGAACTGGTGGCCTGCTGTGTGGTTTGGTAACATCAGGACTGTACCATTTTAATGTTGACCTTGGGCTTATTAGCCTCAGCAGCCAGTAGCTGCCTGAGTGAAGAGATGCCTCTAGCTTCAGTGGGCCGGGAGCAAGAGGCAGAGCTGAAGCCCAAGGTCAAGAGGCTTTCACACAACCCCTAGAGCCTGACACTTGGAACTCAGACTTCTAGCCTCCCAAACTGTAAGAGAATGAACTCCTGTTTGTTCAAGCCATCCCATTTGTGATATATTCTCATCAGAGTGGCACTAGGTAACCAGAACACTACTATAGTTAATAATTCTTCAAATATTCCTGTTCAAATTACTATGTGGCTTCTTTCTCCCGGTTGGACCCACACTGATACAAACGCCTAGAAACAAAATAAAAATGAAACACTTTCTTAACTTAAAGAAACCTTATCAGGCACTTGATAAAAGCAGCAGTTTCCCATGATGTGTCATTTACTCACACAGCAATGAAATTATATTTACAGAAATGTAAATTATTTACACATTTGGGATTGAGATAGCTAAAAAAAAAAACTGACAGCATACAGAGAGATTTTCTTATGCTTTCTCAACTGATATAAACAGTTCAAATAATCATATTTGAAATCACTTACTTTGAGATGAACAAAACAAACTGATTTTATTATCTATTAAACTGGGAGAGTTCCTGTAGTGACCTCAATAGTTAAAATTGGTTAAATGTAAAGTAAACTCAGGGGAGTTAGAGAATAGCTAACAAGCTTTCTTACCTTCTTCAGTAAAGAAGCTTTTAAAACCTACTGTTAACTTTGAGCCCTGGGTGGCGCAAATTGGTAAGCACTCAACTACTCATCTGGAAATTTTTTCTTTCAGGGTTTTATATATACTTTCTCATTGTCTGCTCGCCTGCATGGTTTCTGCTGAGAAATCTGAGCTTAGTCTTATTGGTTGCCACTTGTAAGTAACTTTCCGTTTTTCCCATGCTGGTTTCAGGATTCTTTCTTTGTCTTAGGTTTTGGTGTTTGATGATGCTATGGCTTGGTGATTTTCAGCTACTCACCTGAAGGTTGGTGGCTCAAATCCACTCAAAGGCACCTCAGGAATATGCCTAATAAAACTCTGCTTCTGAAAGGTCACATCCTTGAAAATCCTATGGAGCAGTTCTACTCTGCCTACAGAATTGCCATGAATCAGAATCAAGTTGATGGCAAGTAACAACCTTATTATCTACAATATTACTCCTCAAATGCTATTACTTTAACATTATAACTACTAGAGGGGAAAAGGAAAAAGGCACTACAATTTCTTTCAAACTGCAGGAGCACGAACATTTCATATAGCCTTTATCAGGCTAAAGCAGCAGCAGTGAAAATGCTCCACATCCCTGTAGTCTTGCAGCAACCAGATTTTGTCAAGTTATAAATACCTACCTCAAAAATATTTTCCATTTAAGTAGCATCTCAAGTGGTTTTTGCCAACATTCTAATTCTTTGTAAATGTTAAAAAATTGCCAAGAGCATAAAAATAATCATTCGAACTTCTCATATGTGAGAATCAAGGCTACTTCTTTTTCTAATAATTTGGGGCTGCAGAAAAAATGAGATTTCTTCAAAGTTTACCAAACTGTTTTTGTGGGGTTTTCCACAGTTTTATACCTCAGATATTATCTTTGTAGTCACACAGCCTATGTTAACTCCAGACCCATCCCTTGTCAGCTATCTAATATTAGAAAAGCGTTTTAACATCTCTAAATTCTAGTTTCTTCACCTATATCATGGAAATAATAATTCCTACAATAAAAGTTGGTTGTAAGGAAGAAACGAGATAATGTGTGAATAGCTAGCGTGTGCATGATGTAGTCCTGCTCTACTGAGGAAGCAATCATTAACATGACTATTGTTGAGATTTTATTAACTAACCTTTCGCCCTATTAATTTCATTACCTGTTTTTTAAATAGGTAAGTGTCAGAAGAAGATCCTATAATGTCAATGTGTGTCCTATAAAAATTTACCAGCACTTGAAGGTAACTTGAACTTACTTGCTCACATGCCAGTTTAATAGTTCTTTTCTCTTTATTCTCCTTTCCTTCCAAAACAAATGTCTCTTTTCTAAGCTTAAACTGAAGAGAATGTGAGTATTTCTCAACGAGCTGTTTTGCATGCTTTACATCACTTGGCTGAGACCCACTTTGAGCACTTCTTAGACAAACTGTAGTGATATCACCATCCACTCTCTCTTGACTTAGAACATTAAATTTTTTCAATGTGCTTTCATAACATCTGCACTTCTGTTTCAAGTAAAGGAACACATCTGTGTCAAGAACAAATGTTTCTCCACTTCTAGTCATCTCAGGTACTAAGGTCCTGGATGACTCCAATGAGTTATTACTTCTCTGTAGACTCCCCTGGAGGCTTTGTCTACTCCACTTTTTTCCCTCACTGACAAAATTCCTGTTTCTTTCTAAAAGAAAACTGGCTTTTAATAGCAAAAGTTCTCTGAGCCTCTTGATAGCCAGAAATGATCCTTGAACAGAAATTCTTCCATTGGGTTTCAAAGGACTGAAGCATAAAGTTGGGATTTTCTTTGTCAGGTCCCTTATCAGACTTTCTAGAACAACTTGTCTCCGAAAAACAGAAAGATCAAGGATTGCATTTACAGAGCAGAAGACCTAAAATTAAAAAAAAAAAAAAAAAAAGAGAGAGAGAGAAATTAAAATTGCATTGCCTAGTGAAGCAGACTAAACAAACACATTCTTTTTCTGCCACTTTCTCTGTCTCCACAGAGGTTACCCTAAACCAGACCCAAATGCCCAGCCCAGATTTCCTGGCTTCTTGCACCACAGCAGCCATCAAAGAAATCCCACAATCCCATCAAGGCCACATTGCTCAATCTGGTATTGCCAGTCCCTTACCACACACCCCAAAATAAAGACAGTCAAAAGTTTTTTAGCAGCAAAATGCTCTTTTGAAACAAAATCTTACGTAGAGCCATAGATAGAAAATTGTTCTGGTTCTGCTCTGAGGGTAAACGATGAGGGTGCAACACTTTTGGTCTTGTCCCCCTAAAGTGGTCCCCAACTTTGAAGTTCAACATACAGCTCCACAGAACCCTAGGTTTCTTACATAATGGAATCTGTAAAACAACGCTTTGAACTTTAACTTTTTCCTCCTATTTCTTATTCTTTCCTGATTTTTTTTTTAATTATGTTCATTCTAATTACTTTTTTCCCCAAATAAAGCCTAGGTACTGGATATCATCCAGGACAGCATAAAAGCTCACTGTCACTTCAATGCATTAACTAGACATATAAAAACATAAACAGGCCAGGAAATAATCAAAAAATTTCAAGAGATAAAATTTGGCCTGTATTATACTGACTTATATTAGGGAATTTGCATTATCTTCTTGTGTTTCCTTAAGTAAGGAAGATATTGCCGAAGAAAGGGGACTGAGAAGGGTAAGCACACCTTCAGCATCACACCTTACCTTTTCACTAAAAGGAGAGACTGTGAGTGGAACCTGTATAGTCTTCTTTTTTAGATGGTGTTTCTTTTTTCTGATGACGTTCTCTGCAACTAAATGGACACATTTCTGCCATTAGAAATGTTTGTGACAAAACATATGGCTCAACTCTTACTATCTAGAATGTTGAAGAGATTTATTCCCTGCATTTTTCCGGTAAATTCAACAAATAGTTTGTTTCCTCCTACTTTAACGAATTAAAATTAATTTTATGTGTAAATATGACCTTAATCAAACTTTCAAAGACATACCTAGTATACATATGAATAGAAAACTAAAATCTAAAAGTGAATCTCCACTGTTAAGTACTGCCATAAAAAGACTTCACCTTCTTGAATCTAGGATATAACACACTGTCTTGGTTTTCCTCCCAACTCACTGGCTGACCTTCTCAATCTCTTTTACTAATCCCCTTCTTCCAGTTCTGTAGGTATCGGCATGCCCCAGCCTCAGGCCTCAAATCTCTTTCCTAACCTTCACCCACTCCCTGGATGATCTCAAAATTTCCTATAGCTTTAGATACTATCACTGTAGCTGTATTTTCCAAAATTCTATTTTCAGCCTTGAACTTCCTCCTTTCTGTCTACTAGAAATCTCTGCTTTATTGTCTTAATAGGTCAATGCCCAAAATTCAACTCTTGATAACTATCCACCTCCCAAACAGACTCCTCCCCTAGTCTTCTCTATTTCAGAAAATGTCATCTGATCCAAGAGCAAGTCCTGAATACCCACCAGTTCTCATCATCTGCCCTACCACCACTCTCATCAAAGTCAGCAATGATTGTAATAGCTTCTCAACCTCCAAGTCAGAATAGTTGCCTAAGAAAAGGCAGCCAAGTCTTACCAATCCTCTGTTCAAAACTCTCCATCTCAAGTTGTTATGTTGATGAATGTCTTGGCATGTGTGTTTTCACCACAATAAAAGCAAATAAATAAATAAACCCGCCATCTCAGTAAAATCCAGAGACTTGGCCTTGACCTGTAAGTTACTTTCCATAAACTAGGCCCAGCTCTGTGTCCAACCACATCTCCTATTACTCTCACCCTTGTTCTTTATACTTGAGCCTCACAGACCTCCTGGCTGTCCTGCAAGGAGCCCAGCATGCTCCCACTCAGAGAATTTTTTATCAGCTCATCTCTCAGCCTGGAATGTTCTCCCCCTCCTACCTGCATGAATTATTCCTTTACTTATTTCTGCCCAAAAGCCACCTAAGCAGAGTATTTCCCTAACCACTCTATCTAAAATAGCACCTGCTATCACACTCTAGGAGCTCTGGTAGCGTAGTGCCTAAGGCACTTGACTGCTAACCAAAAGGCTGGTGGTTCCAACCCACCAGCCACTGCTTGGAAGGAAGATGGGGCAATCTACTTCTGTAGTAATACTGCCTCGGAAACCCAAGGAGGGGTCGCTATGAGTTGGGTCCTACTCAAGAGCACATAACAACAACAACAATATCACACTCTAATCCCTTATTGCCCTTTATATCTTTTCATAGCACTTATCACTACCCGACATATATTATATGTATATTTATTTGTTTATTAGCTATCTCTCCCCATCACAAAGAGTCCTGGTGGTACACTAGTTCAGAGCTCAGCTGCCAACTGTAGTTTGAATACACCAGCAGTTCCATGGGAGAAAGATGTGGCGGTCCGCTTCCATAAAGATTTACAGCCCTGGAAACTCTATGGGTCATTTCAACTCTGTGCTACAGGGTTACTAAGAGTTGGAATCAACTCAACATCAATGGGTTTATCCCCATCATATACGTGTTTCATGAAAGAAAAGATTTTGGCTGTTTCATTCACTGCTCTATTATCAAGGCCTAGAATGGTGCCTGACAAACTGACATTCAATAAACATTTGTGAATATATGAATTAATGAGTCCTCGTCTGAGTTACTGACTTAACATATAAAATATTAACTTCCAACAACACTGACATTCCTTTAGAGAAAAAAGGAGGAAGCTCCCACCCTTCCCACCATCCCTTATCTGCATAGCCACACTGAGAAGGAATGATCTAATGGTAGAAGACCAAGGTACTGATTATCCATGGTCTTTTGGATCTCTCTCTAGAACCTGTCTTCCCTCAAGCAGAGCAAGGGCTCTTTCTCTGCTCCTAGTTTTACCTCCAAAGGCTCACCAAGACTCATCTTTCTCTGGCACTCTCCTCACCTATGTCAGGGTTGGAAGGTAGGAAACAGAATGGCTCAACCTGATCTGAGTTAAGCCATACTTCTCCAATCCAATTTTACCAGTAATAAAGCAGACACTGTATTAGAATATCCATTTGAGTGCTATGTCTCATTATCATTGGTTTGAACAAATAAAAATAGAAATTATATCACTGAAGTCACTTTAAAACTCCCAAAGTAGTTATCTCTTGGTTGTGAAAGTACAGATAAATTTGTGGGGTTTTTATTTTTTTCTGTATTTTACAAGCTTTATACAATAAAATGCATAGCATTCAAAATACAGAAAAAGTGTGCATTATTTTACAGTCACTATCACATTCATCATAAGCCATTTTGACACATATTTTTGCTAATGTAAGACTGTCTACTTCTATATTCAGAATACATTATTTATTTTTAAAACTACTTATAATTTTACCAATCCCAAGAATCATTTTAACGTAATGCATTTTTAAAATCTGACTGCATAAGTGTTTCTTAGATTACAAAATTTTGATCTGGAAATACCTTTTTTTTCCTTGAATGTTACATATGCAACTCCCTTGGTTCTTGTTGGATATATCACATCTTCCACATCTCCACCCTCATTCTTCATATCCTGGAAGTAAATCTTCACTAAGGTGGCCAGTGATTGGTCACTAAAACAACCAACTGGAAGACCACTAACTACAACTGTTCTTTCAGAAGCTTCAGATTCCTTGACACTGGACATTGATGCCTGTTTAAAAGAAATAACGGGATACTCTTTGAAAAGGTAAGAGTCTACTGACTAAAAGCAACATCACATGCCAGCGGGAGAGGCTATCTTATTTAACAGATGTGCTACTGAAGATGTTTAGATACTTGAAAAACAAAATTAAAGATAGATCTTTGACTCACACCATCCACCAAAATAAACTGTATGTAAATTTGAGAGTTAAATGTAAAAAAATAAAATCTTTATTTTTTTAAATGCATTTTATTGAAATATAATTTATGTACAGTGAAATACACAAAATTAAAGAAATCTTTAGTTTTATAAATGGAAAATATTGTTAACATTTGTCTGATTTTAGGAAGGTCTAAAAATTTTAGGAAAGGATCCCTAGTGGCACAACGGTAAGCTCTTGGCTGCTAACCGAAAAGTTGACCGTTCGAACCCATGCAGTTGCTCTGCCAGACATAGACCTTGTGATCTGCTCTCATAAAGGTTACAGCCAAGAAAACTCCATGGGGCATTCAACTCTATCACATGGGGTCACTGTGGGTCAAAACTTACTAGACAGCACCTAACAACAAAAACAGTGGGAGAAGTCACAAAGGAAAAACTCAAAACGAAACAAAATAAAAAGGAAACTAACCACAAAATATGGTAGCTTAGAGGTTGCTATATGTTTTCTTGATTGTAGAGTCCAAAGTAAATAAGCCAACAAGAAACACAGCCCCTACTTTTATTGTCAGAGCAAGGAAAAGACATCACTAAAAAAAAAAACAAAAAACCTGGAACTACATGGGGGCTGCAGTGGAGTTAACCCTGTCTTCCAGCACATATCTGAGATAGAACTCACGAGTACAGTGCTATTGCAGACCCTGCCACCATGCTAGCCACAGAGTTCCTTCGTCTGGCTCTCTTTGAACTACGTGTATTAATCACTTAAGAGGCCTCTGTTTGAATGCTTTAATTTGTCCCCAGCCCTGTCTAGAAAAGTAGATATATAAGCTTCTCCCAGTTCCTAGGGAGTCTAGACTGACTACACCACTCAGATATAATCTGTCCTAAATTGCCCCAGGGAAGACAAGATGTTTCTTGGGCCCACGTGACAATTAATAGACCACCCAGTTAAAAGTTCTATGTGCTCTTGGTGAGTAGGCATCTGTAGGCCTCCGGTGAGCAGAGGCAAAATACTCCTTTTGACCTCCCAAGTCAAGAAGAGAATCTTAAAACATGTACCATCTCTGGTCCCTAATAGCAAAACAAAAAGCAGAGGAATAACAAAACAAAACAAAAGTAAAAGAATAAACTCAATTACAGGGAGCAATCAGTATAAGAAAGAGTTAGAGCAAATTTCTGGAAGACCAAATATGCTAAGCAAGATATGAAAGGATTAAGAGACAGTGAAAGAGTTGTAACCCACAATAAAGAAAGAGAAGTTGCAGCAAATAGGTGACAACCTATATGGCAAAAGCTGTGTAATATGGAAAACAGGGAAATGAGAAAAGGAACCAAAAACAGCTTTGGTGAAAGGCTATTGGTAAAATAACTGTTCTAGTTGACTACCTTCACACTCTGCCCCCTTTACATATGGACACAAGCTTGTGTGCATACATACACATACTACAATGAAGGCAACTGGGCTCACAACTTCAGGTAA